ATAAACCAAAGCCTCAAGGAATTACAACCCTTTTTACTCCATGCTCTTTTCATTTTTACCATCCTCACATGTTAGAAATTGCCATAACTAACTAACATTGATTCCTTTTCCATTTTGCATGCCTTGCTGGATTTTGGGCTTGACGTGGAGGAGTTTAGAAGCTGATAGAAGAGGGGAAATTGGCGGCAGCGGCGCTTGGAGGGTCTCAAAATAAACCTAAACCATGTGCTTCATTTCGTGTTGTTAGATCAAGATCAAATCTAACGGATAGCATGGATTGCCTGACTTTCTTTGATGGCAACACAAGACTAATTCTGAGGGTTTGCTAACCCTAGGTCACAATGGTGGGTGGAACCTGCTGTTGGTCTGTTCAGGCATAAACGAGCATGTGTGATTGGGCCAATTTGGGTTTGTATGGTGGATTGGAATTTGTTTATGGAAATGAGCCTGATTTAGGGATGTAAGTTAAACATACATTTGAACATTTGGATGTTAGATTTCTAAATGGACTTGGGTTTTTTATTTGGTGATGGATAAGGGTATGGGCCACTGTAGGGTTTAATGGTGAATATTAAATTAATGGGTATTTGGTAAGTTTGGTATTTGGTATCTACTAAAAGATTTTAAAGTTTAAATCTAGAACCCAATTTCTCAAAATGATCTTTTATGGTTTCGAATCCATTAAACACTAAATTCCTCAACACTCCATTCAGTGATGTCATTTGAACCAATTTGACATCGACACATATATAACTTTTAAATTGATCATCGAATATCTTCAGTTCGGTTTTTCTAGTTCGAATAAAATTAGGGTATGACAACAACCCCTATTTGCTTATTGTTGTGGAAGCAAGGACGTAGCAAAGACAAATACTAGCCTAATTTTTCTGATATATTTGCAACTCCTTCTTTCTAGCACCAATCAACCTTCTTTGGTCTTCCATTGCTCTATCACTTTGTCTTTCTATCAATTGGTTTAACCATAGACATTTGAATGCTTGTTCTGCCTCAATCCTATGAATGTTGGTCATACAAAGACAAAATTATCATTAATTAAACATATGAGAACTTATTTTTATTTATTTATTTATTTATTTGTTCTTTTTTCATTTTTTTCTCTTTTTAAAACTAAAAATAATATCAAATAACTGATTCCTTTGCACAAGAAAATTAAAAGGTTTTAATCCCTTCTTGAGAAGTTGTGCAAGTTCTCCTATATGAACTGCATATTCTCTTAAAAAGGTCATATTGAGGACGAACAAGCCCTCCTATATGAACTTCTTCCTCATTTGATTGTGTTGATCCATCTCCTTCTGTAATGGAATCTAACAAAAGAGAAATATTGATTCAACTCCTTATATGATGGAATCCAACGAAATAATGATGATGATCCAACTTCTTATATGATAGAATCTAGCAAAAACGGAATGTTGATCCGTCTCCTTCTGTGATGGAATCGAACAAAAGAGTAATGTTGATCCAAATCCTTCTGTGATGAAATTGAGCTAAATAGTAATGTTGATCTAACTCCATATGTAATGGAATCGAACCTTTAAAAATATCATTTTTGAAAAAAGATTAAATGAGTAACTTTGAAAACTGCTTTCTCATTTTTTAAACAATATCATACGAAAACATCATGCTTGGAGGTCTTATAGATGTCCCAGAGGTCTTATAGATGGCTCGGAGGTCTTGTCATCTTGCTTGGAAGACTTATAGATGACCTGGATGATTTAATCATCATGCTCGGAAGACTTACTAATGACCTGGAGGGTTTACTCGTTTTGGAAATATTCTACTAGGTAAGAAACTTTGGAAATCGCTTTCTTAATTTCTAAAAATTTCATTTTCTGAAAATCAAATGAGAAACTTTGAAAATTAATTTCTCATTTTCACGAATATCATATGAAAACAACATGCCCATAGGTCTTTTAGATGGCATAGAGGTCTTATTATATTCCTTGGAAGACTTAAATGACCCAGAGGATTTAATCATTATGCTCGGAAGACTTACTGATGACCGGAGGACTTACTCATTTTGAAAATATTCTTCTAGGTAAGAAACTTTGGAAATCACTTTCTTACTTTTCATTTTCTGAAAATAAAATGAGAAACTTTGAAAATTGTTTTCTCATTTTTTCATGAATATCATATGAAAACATCATATCAATCGGGTAACATGCCCCACTTCAAAGTAATGATTTTTTGTGAAATGGGCTCCTTGATTCTTGAGGTTCTACCACTCTGATCATAATTCCCTCTATTTGAGGTTTTAATTCTGATTTTCTCTTCTTTCTCTTCTTTCATTGGAAGATTTGTAAGAATTATGAATCTATGTATGAAAATATGAATGCAATTAAATGAAAGTAAATGTAATGCATGACTTTCTCGTATGTAGAAATAATGATCATCAATCTTCTTATGACTCTAAAGTGGAAAACTCAATCTTCCTTCACTTGATCACTCTCGAATAGACACTGCCTTGGTATCAATGTGGCAACTCGATAGTTCAGGCTTACATCTTCTAGAGAACAATATGATCATCTTGTGTAGTCATCTCATCTATATCTCATGTCTTTAAGAAGCATTTTTCTCTTGAGTTCCAGTTATAATAAGGTATATGGTCGAACGTCCCATTTGTCTCTGACTTAATTGCTCAATCAGAATTGCTTCCTTAAGACCTTTTTTTCCAACTGAAACATGAATGATTTACTTTTTTAAGGTAAGCTCTTCTTTTCTTCATATTCTGCCCCTGTCATCTCAAGTGGCGAAGCTCGTCTTCAATGTCTTGTTGATCTGAATATTGCTATCTTAGCATTATCAGATTTTAGAAATACCCCAATATAGGTATTTCATGGCTTATCCTTAGTGTCGAAAATTTGACTTCAAATGGTTTTTTCGTGCCATTCATCAACAATTGATACCCTTGACTTAGGTCAATAGAAATGTCACCAAATGTCTTTCTTCATTTTTATTATGATATAATGGTTTAAGGGCTTCCTTTTATGAGGTCTCAAAACCAAATGGTTACTCAAGAGGTGATCAATACTTTTGACAGAAATGATGATAACTCTTCAAAAGAGTTATTATTTATATCCTTTTTACTTAGGTTTATGTTTGCACTTTAGCATATTCAGATCATATTTAGAGTGTTTTTAGTTAATTTTGGATTATATGCATTTCTAGGAGTGAGTTGTTAATTTTTGGATCAATTATGATATTTTGATATGATATTGTTACCATGATGTTGTGACATTCTCTGATGCTACAGTTGTTGTTGTGTGCTGATGTAATGCATGATTGTTGAGTTATTTCTATAGCAACCGATGCATGAGCAGAAGGATGTCGACAATCATAATTCTAATATGGAAATGAGTCTTAATGAAAAAATGATTCTCAATTTAATGTGGGTAAAAGGCTGTTGAAAACGGAAAATGATTCTTATTATATAAAGGAGGAGACTACAACTAAAAAATGGGAGCTTTCTAGGGTTTTATTTTATTATTTTCTTTTCTCTACCTTAAAGCATGGTTGCTTAGGCAATTTTGGGGGAAAACAGCAGTTAGACGTGAATGCAAGGTTAGCACAAAGAGGTGGTGGCTGGTGATTGGCAACATCATCAACGACACCAATGATAAAAAGATTCCAAGTGGGGGACTTTATTTTTGTTTAGTTGAATACTCTTTATTTGTATGATAATTGTTAAACCTTATATACTTATATTTTTAATTATATTTTATGAAATTCATGTTAATTAATTTTTTTCCATTGATTTGATTGGTGTTTGCTCGGTTATATTAAATATTTTAATATAGAGATATATAATTAGCCAGTCCATTGCATCGAGAGGTGAGTGGCATTGTGTGAGTGTTGCATTGAGAGGTGAATTCCATTGTTAGAGCATTAATGCTTACGAGAGCAACATTTTAGTGTAGAAAGATCTTGCTAATTGATTGTCATTGCATACTTGGTAAATTTACATCAGTGGGTATAGAGATATAACATTACTGTGAGTTTCTGGGTGTAGCCATCAAGAGAGGAAAACCTGCTAAGTTAATGTTAGATGTATCGATCTTATTGTTGTGGCAACGTTAATTACATGATTGATTTTAACAATAATCTAATCTTTAGCTTGAGTATATCCATTGTTTTCATTGCCACTATTGTGAATCCTTTTATATCTTTATTCGTGTATTTATTTTAGCTTTTATATTTTTATTTCCTTGTTCACAACATCACATATACAATTCTGTTATTTTATTTTCTTAATGTTATAGCAATTCTCTAAGTAATACTAGTATCTGTGGATACGATACACGATGCATTAATTTGCATCCACTTTATTACTTGATAGGATAGTGTATGCTTTCACTTTTGCTGTTACATTATTCAAAGCATCAAGTTTTTGGCATCGATGTCGGGGACTAGTGTCATTACTTTGAGAGTTGTTTTATTTTTCTAACATAGTATTTTTAATCTTTTTATAGGTAAATTTTAATATTTTTTTGGGTGTATAAATCAAGCAATAATCAATGGAAGGAGATCAACAACAATAAATGCTTAACGCTGGAATAGCTCCATCTTTGTAAAATATTTCGATGCTGCCAGTTTACCACAACATCGATGACATCAATAGGCCAATATGAGAACACGTTGTACCCACATTAGATGATTTGAATTCTAGAATTATTCGACTGACCATCAATTCTGCCAACTTTGAATTAAAATCGGTGATGTTTCAAATATTGCAATCAATGGGGCAATATAGAGGGATTCACATAGAAGACCCTATAGCACACTTGTGAGCATTTATGAAGGTTTGTGATTCATTCGTACAAAAAAGAGTGCCCGAGGAAGCTTTGAAGGTAAAATTATTCCCATACTCACTTTGTGACAAAGCCAAGGCGTGACACAATTTGCTGCTAGCTGGTGCTATAGCATCATGGAACGAACTTACCCAAAAGTTCTTGTTATGATTCAATCCTCCCAGAATGAATGCTAGATTAAGTAATGACATTACATCTTTCAAGCAATTGAAGGATGAGAAATTGTATGAAGCTTTGGAGCGATTTAAAGACTTGTTACGAAAATGCCCGATGCATGGTTTCTAGCACTGGACGCAAATAGAGATATTTTACAATGGCTTGAACATGCAAACCCAGATGATTGTGGACACATCTGCCAATGGAGAATTGATGGACAAATCATACAATGAAGCCTACTAAATCCTTGAGAGGGTCTCTAAAAATGACTACTGATACCCCAATACAAGGATTATATCGGGTAGACGCTTTGCGACAACAGTGGATGACAAGCGTACTCTAATAAGTGGAAAATGATGCTCTAAAAATACTAACCACACTTATGACAACATTGATAGAAATAATGAAGAGATTGCAAAAGCTTGGAGGTATGTATGAGGTAAAAGCTACATCTTTCGTTAATTGTGTTTATTGTGGTGATAAACATAATTTTGAAGAATGCCCACAAAACCCCGAGTTTGTATATATTTGTGAGAAATTATAACAAGAATGACAATGCCAAAACATATGGGAACACCTATAACCCAAATTTTAAGCATCGTCTTAACCCTAATATAGCATTACACTCCAATTTAGGAATACACAACAACATTATTGAAATAGTCACACTTGTATATCCCGACTATTATTTCTTGATATCTAGAATAGACACAAGTCTTGGAATAGTCACACTTGTATATCCCATATATTATTTCTTGATATCTAGAGTAGACTAAAACAAATAATTAATTATGATATCTCATATCAACTTATTCGAGGATGGCCATGCATTTCTAGCCTCACTCAATTAAGTGACTTGTGATATATTTCCTATTATGTAGGAAGGATAAATCCTATCTTAATCATTAACACCCCACTACATATATCGTGATATGTTCAATATCAGTCTTTGTAGTGCAACTAGTTATGAAGCATGTTTAACTATATAAAAACATACAACAATATATCTAGTGATAGTAATGATCTCAAGTCTGAGGATCATACATATAGTCATCACCATGAGCAATGTTGTGATTCTCACATAAAGACATATGCTCATAGTGGGTCATTCCAATATGTCGTTCTCTAACAACATATTCATGCATTGATTCTGATATCTCTATATCAATGACAACTCATTGTCATCAACCAACAACATGTTAGCCTTAAACGTATTATTATTGTACATGCCCATAATAATACTCGACTAAGGATATTTAATAATAATCATATTTTATATGGACTTTATTATTTTTCAGTTTATGTGAGACACAAAAATATAACTGGAATAAAAAATGGCAAAGCCTTTATTCAGTAAAACTGGAAAATATAATGTATCATTACAATCATCTCATGATTGGTCTTTGAGCATACTCTAACAAATTCAAGGTTAGCACCGAGAGGTAGTGGCTGGTGATTGGTGACAACATCAACGACAAAAACGATAAAAAGATTCCGATAGAAGGTTTTTATTTTTGTTTAGTTGAATACTCTTTATTTGTGTGGGGAATTGTTAAGACTTAGATGCTTATATTTTTAATTATATTTTATGAAGTTCATGTAAATTAATTGTCCATTGGTTCAATTGATGTTTGCTCAGTTTTATTAAGGCTTTTAATATAGAGATGTATAATTAGCCCAATCCATTATGTCGAGAAGTAAGTGTCATTGTATGAGTGTTGCATTTTGAGGTGAGTGTCATTGTGTGAGTGTTGCATTTTGAGTTGAGTGTCATTTTTAGAGCATCCATGATTACAAGAGCAATGTTTCAGTGTAGAGAGATCTTTGCTATGAATTAGGATATCATAAAATCTCAAAATAAGTCATGCCCCTTATTATTAAGGCGATCATCTGCTTCTTGATCGATTATTAATATTAACAACATCCAATAGAAGTGTGAGAAATTTTATCATGGAATCTTATGATTTTTCATACATTATTGCTTTCAAATCGGAGAATGCCTTAAATTCTCTTGTATCACTTATTTTTCTTACTGTAGCTTTTGTTTGCTATCTCACTTCTCCATTTGAGGTAGAATAAGCCTTACTAGCTTCAAAGACCTTTTTCATTCTCGAAAGTTTGTATTGTTTGAAAATGTTTATCTTATTTCTTCTATTTTTAGAATTCAAAAGAATTAAAGATTTTATAAAACAAAATGGTGTTCCTTACTTCAGGTCGAAAACTGAAATAAATCATCACCTCAATGAATATCGATTAAATTAAATATTTTATTTTATTCTTATTTTTTCAAAAATTATAGCCCTGTTACAAGTGTTAAAATCAATGGGTTGGTTTCTTGGTTGACATATTATTTTTTCTAAGTTTTCAATCATCGAGACATCATTCTTTTTTAACCCCTACAAACATTGTCATATTCCCCTCCATCTTGGCTTGACATTCTAATCGGATGCAAACAAAATGATGCAACTAGCATACTCAATTGTTGAACCTTTTAGAACATTTCTATTTTAGTTATCTAAAATCTTCCATTTGATCAAGCTTCATAGGCTCTTTTAGCAGAGGTAGTGTAGAAATATTAGTCTAAAAAAATTCCTGAGTGCTTGTGTGAAGTTGACTATAACAGGTGTTTCACAATTCTCTTAGTCGTCTTCCGCCTGAACTCATTCTTAATCTACAACTTAGGAATTTCCGCCCTTATTGGACTACTTAAACTGATAATCAATATTTTTTTACCTTAACCTTAGGCCTTTCCGCCTTTGTAGAATTCACTCTGATGTTTTTACTTTTTTTTTTTGTTTTTATTTATCTGTCTTGTTTCTTTCCCTCCCCTGGGGGATTTCATTGCATCACAATTAATGTCACATTTTGAATATAACCACTTCATGAAGTTTAGACTTACCTCAATAGCTGCATGAAATTATTTCCCTCCCCTGGGCCTTTTGATATTTGCATTACGATTGTACCTTTGTTAGACTTGGATTACTTGGCCTGGTTGCTTGTTCACTGGGTCAGGTGAGCTTGTGGTTGGGCTTCCCGAACATGGACCTCCTAGACATTGAATAGACCATTTTAATTGGATTCGAACCTAAAATAAAATAAAATAAAAATAATAATAATAATAATATATTTAATATATAATATATAATATATAATATATATTTAAAAATATAATATATTTTAATAAAACTATATATGTTTTTCAGAAAAATATAATATATTTCAAATATATATATATATATATATCAAACTTATATTTATGTTTTCAAAAATATATAATATACATATTTTCAAAAAACTAGCATACATAAGAACCTTTCGGATTACGTCAAGAAGGGGTATGTTTATTTATACCTTCTAAAAATCAAGACATATCAGCCCATGTATCAATTGATCCTACCTGTAAGTAAAATAACCAAATCGGCTAAGGAAAAAGGGAAAGCGCGGAGTTTAATATGTTTCTCAGATACTCTTTGTAGTGTCATGCTTAAGCAAACCATGTGAAATTCCTTAAGATTCTTGTGCAAGTTTCCACTTTGAATCCCATGGAATGTCGGTTGAAGATGGCTTAGTCCTATTTTTAACTCGAATGGCATTTCATTAATAAAAAATGTAATGTAGAGCAATTTTTTGTTGGGTGTTGCAGCTAACTCTCGGATTTTTTGATCAGTCATCTGAACTAATTCTTCACATTCGTACATGAATAATGCTTCAGTATATGAGATATCTCTTGATTTTAGATCGGATTTGGTTGTTTCTGTTGTTGTCTCTTTCGTCGAAGTGTTTCTCCACGTAATCTTCGGCCAAGTACTTCGATCTTGGTTTCGTATTCTATTAAATTTCCTAGAAGCAACCTGGTTATATATCAAAACAAAAATGGGATTAGTAACTTTATCGAAGTCCCCTACAACGGTGTTAATTTGACCCATATCGTAATTGTTAAATAAAATATTTTTATTTCTCAAAATAAACGAATAGTAAAGTAGTAAAGAGAAGTACTGTTGATACATAGGGTCGATCCATAGGACATTGGAGTTTCCAATTTCGAGTTGTTTTGATATGGATTTAATAAAAAATAAAAGGTAAAAGGGATTTTTAAATAAAGAATGAAAATCTAAAAATGAAAAAGGTATAACAAAAATAAATTTTGAAAAGATCAATGAGATGAAAATAAACTCAATTTTTGCTTTGTCTCAATTCCAATTGATCATCAAAAGAGATTTTACTTTTGGATGCACATCGATTACAATCTACAAGGCTCAACCCTTTTAAAATACTTTTTTCTCCGTAAATCAATATTCCATGTCTATCTCCAAAATTCAATCATTAGCACAACAATTTTACTTTTAAAATTACTATCGTCGTTAGCACCAATACACCTTTAAGCATTGGAAAATTCTTACTCAAGTTATGGTGTACCAATGAGAGTCAAACCCTATCTCAATTTAACTTAGCAGACCACCGCTAAGTTTATTCATAGGAAGTCAAATAATGACCAATCGATTCTTCCTCTCAACAATAAATTAGAACAACATTCAAACCAACATAGAATTTTGAAATGAAAGTGTCAAGAATTTTAAAGGAAATGTCGATTGTCACTCCAATTTTTCAGAAAATCAAGATTATTATCCGAAGATACTAAGTTTTTTCAATTCTCACAACAAGAATTGAGTCATCGCTAAGCCTTTGGCTAAATAAAAATTTTGCTATGCATGATTGAAATCATACTTAACATTTTTTGAAATGAAAATAACAACTTAATGTAACTCCCCATATCCCGGGTTAGGAGTTACGGGTTAATCCAATATGGTTTAAACAAGCCTAAATTGCCTTGTAAAAGAGCTTAGTCTATTTAGAGTTTGGATTGGGTTGGGGATGGGGCCCCAATTAATGTCAAAATGATATTTTAATTTGATGATGAAATTTGAAGGAATAAAAGTGCAATTAACCCATTTTTAAAACAAAAGCTGAAAATCCTTAATTAAGGATGATATCAAGTTGGTTTCTCTCATCTTTTATCCCACCAAACACTCTTCCTTTTCTTCTCTCTTTCTTCTTCTTCTCTCACTTCAAAAGTTGATCAAAGGTGGAAGCTTTTAGATTTTTAAGCCTACTTTGGATTTGCAAA